AAACCAGCTGCCCCGACCGCGGGGGACGCGGCAGAGGGGAACGGGGTACAGAAAGGGGCCCCCTCCAGTCTGACCCACAGCACTTTCATAGGAGCGTAGGCTGCAGCTCAGAAAAGAGACGCATTAAGCCTTCCCCCCAGGACAACACAGGCGGACGGACCCACGAGAAGGTCAAGTGACCCAGACGCAAGTACCGGCTTGCGCTGCAAGAGGCTTTTTCCAGAGTCCTGCGCTTCCACCGCTAAGCAGCTGGGGTGCCTTGTTTATTTGAGGGCACCTGATACACAACTTGCTTATACAATCCCACTACAAAACCTGTGCTGCAAGTCGCATGACGCACAGCGTTTGCACACGCACAGATGCACGCTTAGAGGAAACCGCCTCCATACGCTCGCTGTGTACCACTCTGCAGAGGGGAACAAAACGCAGCCGGGAGGGGAAGGAGAGCAAGATTTATCTTAATGAGCAAACCTTGGTCAGGATCAGCTTGTATAGCGCCGCTTCAAAGCGCTCCACATGCAATAGCATATTAGTCCTCCCCTGGCAACTGATTCGTAAGGCAAAGTCAGCGCAAGAGTGCTGCGCAACCTTGGCAGCGATACCCTTGCCCTCTCCCTGCTTTCCTTTGCCAGCATGCTACGATCCTTTCGGCTCTGGAGTTCCCAGCCGTGCATGTTCCCATTGACCACGTGACACGTCCAACCCAGTTTGAACCCCACCAGTTAAACGTTTTTTGCGGTGGTCAGGGCTGAAGCCCTAGGGTGGGACAGCAGGTTGGGACGGAAACGCTGCCACAGCTGCTCTTTGTGTTGTCAATAAGCGGGACTTTGGCCCTTGAATGTTCCTAGCCGCGTTCATGTGCGTGCACCAGCTCCCCAAAATGAGGGAGCAAACATTAAAACGATCTACAATTTTGAACTGCAAAGCTATGTAGGAGAGAGTGAAACAGCAAGCCCCATTAGATCACATAAAAAGCCTAGAGAAATCTCCAAGCCAGGGACCATGCACCTTCGATGTTTATAAATTAATTATCTGAAAAACCCAGGTCACTCCTTATTGCCACAGCGCCTGTAATTTAGAAGTCTGGCGTGCAGCCAGTTCCAGAAGCTGCATTGATCCTGAATGACCGCAACACCCCCCCCT